GTCGAAACCGAACAGGGTCACGACAGCCACTTCACAGGAGGGAGAAGCCCTTTGGCTTATCGACTGCATGGCTGGAGTGCCGACAAGTCGCAAGCACTAGAACTTCCCATCTGAAAGTGTATGTTTGTGTATGTCTGCTCCCAGCACTGAACTAACAAGATTTCCACTACTCTCTGCATGCGTCAGAAATAAAAGAAACTTTGGGAATTCGCAGTGGTCTCTCACAGTTCAGTATGGCTTTCTTACTGCAGTACCTTTGGATGAAGAGCTGGCACTTAATTCTCATTCCTAAATTTTTACGTGTTGTAAGCACAGCAGAGAAAACAGCTTGCACTAACAAATCTACTGTCAATCTCTGCTGCTCCTTTAGCCCTGGGGTCCCCAAGGGGGTGCCCATGGGCACCATGGCGCCCACCAACACCTTTCCTGGTGCCCGTCAAATTCTTTCAGAACATGAGCGGGGCCCAGCAAGGCTTCTGATTGGCCATCAGAGATTTGGTTGGCTTTGCAGATCTTTAAAAACCTTGCTTTGGCAGATGCTGCCACCACAGTACAAGGATCTTCACTGAATGTAAGGGGCGGCAGCCATTTTGTGGCTGACTCCACCTCCTGCAGCAGCCATTTTGTGGCTGACTCCACCTCCTGCAGCAGCCATTTTGTGCCACCAAGTTCTGTTAGAATTCTAATGGTGCCTGTAGGCTCAAAAGGGCTGGGGAACCCCTGTTTTAGCCACCAAAAGCCCTATGTACAACAAATCTGAACTGGGGTCTGAACTGGCAGAGACTGAGCAAGAGAGAGATCTTGGAGTTGTAGTGGATAACTCACTGAAAATGTCGAGACAGTGTGTGACTGCAATAAAGAAGGCCAATGCTATGCTGGGGATTATTAGGAAGGGTATTGAAAACAGATCAGCCAATATAATAATGCCCCTATATAAATCAATGGTGAGACCTCATTTGGAATACTGTGTGCAGTTCTGGGCACCACACCTTAAAAAGGATATTATAGCTTTGGAAAAAGTGCAGAAAAGGGCAACTCAAATGATAAAAGGGTTGGAACACTTTCCCTATGAGGAAAGGTTAAAGCGCTTAGGGCTCTTTAGCTTGGAGAAAAGACGACTGAGGGGTGACATGATCGAGGTTTATAAGATTATGCATTGGAAAGAGCAGGTAAAGAAAGAGGTACTTTTCTCCCTTTCTCACAATATAGGAACTCGTGGGCACTCCATGAAACTGCAGAGCGGTCGGGTTAGAACGGATAAAAGGAAGTACTTCTTCACCCAAAGAGTGATTAACACATGGAATTCACTGCCACAGGAAGTGGTGGGTGCTACAAGCATGGACGGCTTCAAAAGGGAATTAGATAAGCATATGGAGCAGAGGTCCATCAGTGGCTATTAGCCACAAGGTATAGCTAGGGGCTCTGGGGCAAGTGATGCTCTTTCTTCTTGGTGCTTGGGGGGGGTCAACAGTGGGAGGGCTTCTAATGTTCTGGCCCCACTGCTGGACCTCCTGATGGAACTGGTATTTCTGGCCACTGTGTGACACAGAGTGTTGAACTGGATGGGCCTTTGGCCTGATCCAACATTGGCGTCTCTTATGTTCTTATGTTCTTAAATCCACTGGGCCAAGCCAGAAACATCCCCAGATGCATGGCCACCTGCCCTACCAGTATAGTGGCCAGCTCTGGGATGGGAAATACCTGGAGATTCTGGGGGAGGAGCCTGGGGAAGGGGAGGGACCTCAGCTTGGTACAGTGCCACAGAGTCCACCCTCCAAAGCACCCATTTTTCTCCAGGAGAACTGATCCCTATTGTCTGTAGATCAGTTGTAATTGCAGGAGATCTCCAGGCCCCACCCGGAGGCTGGCAACTCTACCTACCAGACAATGCTCAACTGAAAAAGCATCCCATTTTAGAGGAAGTCTTTTCTGTTAAAAATAAAAAAAAGATTAAACTTCAAAATAAAATTGCAAACCAAAGTTACAAACAGAAGCAAACGCTCTGATGGAAACCAGAACAATAAAGATCAGTGATCTTGGAGGGAGGGGGGGATGTTCTATACACCTCGCTTGAGAGAGGCCTCTGGGGAAGCAACTAGATGTGCTGGCTGAAAGGACCTGGGTGGGGCTTACTGGCAGGCCCGTAGCTAACATGGGGCCCACGGGGCCCGGCCCCCTTGTGTTTCTTCTGGGCCCCCTCCCTCCAGGGCTGCCCCCAAAGTGCTCCCAACTTACCACCTGCACTGTACTTCCATTTAATTAGCTGGCGCCCCCCCAGGCCCCCTCCCAAAGAATTCCCTAGCTACAGGGCTGCTTACTGGTAAAGCAGGAGTGGAAGGAACAATGAAGGTGCTGCAAGGACAAGTGGAAAGGCGAGCTGAACACTCCCCCCCCCCAAATCTACCTACTTTATTCATTTATTCATTCTCCAGGTGGGGCTCTTGCAACCAGAAGGATCCCCTGCAGGGAGAAAAGTGACTTTAAAAGCAGCTGGAGGGGAGGGGACAATTTAGTCTCCTTCCCTTGTTTGGTAGCAAACCCAATTCTGCAGATGGGTCCACCCCATCACCATGGTGGTTTCTGCACAGGGACAGGCTTCTGCAACTTCCCCAGTGCTGCTGCATCTCTGATAAAGTGCAGCAGCAAGGGCGCTTTTACATGGCAGTTTCCCCTGCAGCTCCCCTGCCCCAGTTCCACCACAGCAGCCATTCCCCCAACCCAGGTGATTGGGGCTTTTTCAAGTTTTTTTTCCAATGGGCAACTGAATATTGTTCCATCGATATAAAGTTATAACAATATGTGCATTGGATTCACTAAATTTCCAGCTTTCATTTAAAAAAAAAAGTCTAGCCCCTTTCATTGTGGAGATTTAAGGGGAAAGGCCTTTTCCACAATGAAATGGGCTAAGGTTTACTTTAAAAAAAGAACAGAATGAAAGCTTGGAATTCAGTGAACCCAAGTGGCAGGAAAGAAAATGGCTACTGTGGTCAACATGTGGTCAGGAAAATCTAAATTCTGCCACTGACATGGAAGCCATCCAGGCTTTACTGAGATCTTTCCCAAAACTCCACAGCAAAGCAGGTTAGAGAAAGATCACCAAAAGCCAGGGAAACCCTGGGAGAGTCATAAATGCAACATGTGGCTGTGGGGAAGCTCCCCAACGGCACTGAACCCAGGACAGGTAACCCTTGTGAAAATGGCCTGGGTATACTATGTCCCTTAGCCTTTCTGCTAATCCTATAGTCCAACACAGCTTTTCCATGGGCATTCCTATTCTTGTCCTCTGCCTTCAAAAAATAAAAATTGAGCTTCTCTCTTTCTGCAGACAGGGACAGCTTGTGAACATATACAGACACCTACACAGATTTGAAACAGATTAGGAAAAACACATGGAGTTACCCAGGGTGCAAACACTGCAGCAAGCTGTCTGAGTAACCAGCAGCTGCTGAACAACCCAATGAGAGACACATGAATGATTAACCCTTTCTCTGTTCCTGGCGGTGCACATTCTGCTTAGACCATTAGAAGAACGCACATGTCCCCCACCAGCCACCCTTGACAGGCAATTCGGAAAGCTGTGACAGCAGTGTGAATCACTTAGGCCCTCTCTGTTGCTGCTTCCAATGAATTTGCAAAGCCACCGTAGGCTAGAGGATTTATCCTCTTCCTCGAAGTGTCTGAAATTTGGAATAGCACTAGTACAGGGAAACAAAAGGAAGCACTTCTGAATCAAAACCGTGGCCAATTGTATAAAGAGCTAAGGTGAAGCGGTGGTCTCAGGCAGCAGATTTTGGGAGGACTGCAGCCTCCAGTTGGCCCAGGAGCCAGAGCAGTTAAGTGTTTCCTCCTGCCTTTTTCTCCTGGCATCTTTAAAGACAATCTTGCAGGCCCACAGGACTTCCCCAGTGTTTGGAAAGCCCCATTAGGCATGGATGGTTTTCTGCGCTGCTTGTGGGGAATGAGTAGAGAAGGAACATTTTTGCTGCTTCGGCTCCTGGGCAGGGGCAAAAAGAGATGGGTGGTCCTCAGGCAGCTGACACTGATGACAAGGGATGGACGTTTCTATTGCCCTGCTTCATTCAAGGGAAAAAAACCATCCAGAATTACAGCCTATTTTGACCAGGATAGTCCAGGCTAGCCCGATCTTGTCAGTTCTCGGAAGCTAAGTAGGGTTGGCCTTGGCTAGTATTTTGGTGGGAGACCTCCAAGGACTACCAGGGTCATGACGCAGTGGCAGGCAAAGGAAAACCACCTCTGAATGTCTCTTGCCTTGAACTCCCTATAGTAGGGGTGTCAAACATAAGGCCTGGGGGCTGGAACTGGCCCATCCAGGGCTCTTATGTGGCCTGCAAGCAACTAGTGCAAGGGAGGGAACAGGAGAGTGTTCAGGGGGAGTGGGTGGAGCCACTCTGACTGTAGCTTCAAAATGGCAGAACAGCCTCATCTGCAGCAGTCAGTCTGTCCACTGCTGCACCGCTGGCTCTCCAGTCTGCCCATATGGGTTTCCCTTTGCACCCCCCTCCCAGCCCATGGGGCCTTGCAGTGAGGATACACCAACTCGGAGCTTACCAGCGGCTGTCCTTAATGCAGTTTATATCTCCGGTACCTGGCATTATGTTTTATGGCACACATGGCCTGGCCCGACAAAGTGACATTTCTGTCCGATCCGGCCCTCGTAACAAATGAGTTCGACAGCTCTGCCCTACAAGGTTGCTGTAAGTTGATTGTGACTTGGCAGCAAATAACCCACGCTTCCTAAATTTTCTGGACCTTCTTTTTTTTTAAAGGGAGAAAGAGAAAAGGCAGAAAGGATCTTATGCACCTGAAATGGAGACAAATTGGGCTCCACCTTCGGATCTGAAAGCTGCAGCAAGACAAACCTCGAAGGCCTCTGCTCTGACTAACGCCTACGCTGTCGTGCTATTAATGATATGCACTCTGCTGCTCTCTGCGTTTCTCCCCGTTTGCCGCTTAACAGCAAAGTTTTTTTATAGGCTTACTTCAAGTCCGCCGCTATTAAATTAAATCCATTGTAAAGGTGTCCTTCCGAGGCAACTTTCTTCAAGTAAGAGTAACTGTCCAGCTCTGTCGTCAAGAAGTTTGTCACAAGGGCACCTGTAAAGAATAAAGGGGAGGGGGAGAGAGGATTTATAGTCTGCTAGAATGATTTCCCAGGAAGGAAGCTGACATTTCACCTCCCTGGGCTAGCTCAGCCGTTGAGAAGGAATGAGCAAGCTTTAAGTCTTGCTGCCACAAAGCCTGCCAGCGTCAGCTTGATCAACCCTGTATGGCGCTTACTGTTAATTTGTTGCACTATTAAAAGGTTCGCAGCATTTCAAAATGTTTTATGCCCCCTTCCCTAGGGATAACTTATGAGCTGGTGTGGCACAGAGTTCCTAATGACATGCTTATTTAATAATTAATTAAAATATTTCTATCCTGCTTTTCTTATTGGCTTGAGGAGGCTTTTATTTTATTTTTCATCATTCAGGGTTGTTGCCTAAGTTATACAGCTACACCCCTGCAGTTTGAGTCCACGACACGGTTCAAATGTAGTGCACTGCCACTATATGAATGCGGCTGGGGGAAGGATCCCTGAACTTGCATGCCTCCCCCTCCAGCTCCACTGTTTACAGCAAACCATAGTTTCGATGGAACAAAGTTTGAGTCCTGTGGCACCTTTAAGACCAACAAAGTTTAATTCTGGGTATAAGATTTCACGTGCATGGACACTTCATCAGATAGCTGAAGAAGTATGCTTGCACATAAAAGCTTATACCCAGAAGTAAACTTCGTTGGCCATGAAGGTGCCACTGGACTCAAACTTTTTTCTGTTGCTTCAGACCAACACGGCTACCCACCTGAATCTGTCTTCATAGTTTTCATGGTACGTCCAAGACCACAACCTATGGTTCTGAAGTCTGCCTTACAAACCGAAATTTTCATAGCTTATGAGGACCTCCAAGCTCACTTGCCTAAACAGCAAGTCATGGTTTTTCACTACGTCAGAAAGCCAATATGCAATGGGTCATTCCCTAACCCAATTCCCTGGGTTGTGCATTGGCGTAGTCGGTGTGAGACGGTATAGAAACTTGGAGCTGAAATGCATGTCTTTGCAGGCGTGCGCTATGTCATACACGCCCATTGCTTTTTTGCGTGCACGCAAAATAAAATACCACATGTTCAGCTGTGCACTCCTAACCAGTTATACCCTTCCTTAGTCCACTGACTTCAATGGACTTGGTGTAAGTAATGCTGCTTGGGATGGCTCTGGCAGTCTTCCGAGTGCTTTCATTTCTACTGTCACTCTTAAGTGCAGCAGAACCCTGCATTTAGTTTAGGTATTCAAACGTCATGCTCACCAGTTCTATTGAGAAGCAATGAAAACCCATGGCTTGTCAATCCTGGAACATCCCCCTGAAAACCCCACTCCTGTGGGTGGAAGACTCTCAGGAGTGACATGAAATGCAGTTTGAAGGGCTGCAGTGAAAAGGGAGAACTGAAAACACAGAACCTACACTCTCGTGCAAGCCCTACAGCCACTGTTCCCTCTAAGCTGAGTTAGTGTGAGCTAGCTCACCGTTTTTTAGCCTCTGGCTCACACGTTTTTGTCTTAGGTCAGGAAGGATGGCTCTAGAACAAACTAATTTATGCAGTAGCCAAATCGCCCACTCACAACTTTAATGCCAGTAGCTCACAAAGTAGAATTTTTGCTCACAAGACTCCACAGCTTAGAGGGAGCATTGCCTACAGCCATCCACATAAGAGCTTGTACAAAGGGGAAAACTTCAACAAGCTCGCCCTTCCTATTGCATCAGCCACCTCACAGCATCCCACTATGTTCCTGAGAATCCTGGAATGTCAGAAGTAACTTTTCAAGGAAGGAAGAGGGCAGCAGTGGCTGCATCAGGAAGGGTAAATTGGTAGAGATCACTTTTGCGAGCTCTGCTTTGTACACAGTTCTCATGTTCCAGGTCATACCTCATAACACTAGGTTAGACTAACTTGTCCCCATATAAAGGAGCTCTTGTACCCCTGCCCATGAACAGGAGCACAAGGTTGGAGAAGTAGATTGTGGCTTGACACTGGAGCTATCCTAGATTTGGGAACATTGCACTGGAGCACGCAATCAGACCTGCCATTGTTTCTAATTATTCCAGCACAGTTTGGAGGTGAAACAAAACGTGACCCCATGCATCCACCTTCAGAGGTGAAGTGGGTGGCAACTAGAGACAGGGCAAGTTCTATTGCGACACCTTGCTTCTGGAATGCCCTCTCCCTTGAGTCTTGCCTGGCACCTACTTTACTATCTTTTAGGTGCCAGGCAAAAATAAATCTTTTTTTTACCCAGTTTTTTAATTAGGCATTTTATCTCACCAGCTTTTTGATAGTCTGCTTCACAGTTTTAGGGCTAGATTCAGGTCTTGTAGCACCTTAGAGACCCACAAGATTTTTGTAGCCTAAACTTCCAAGAGTCAAAGCTCCCTTTATCCTAATGGACTGGAATCTAGCTCTTCTTCTGTAAACCAAGAGGGCTACCCTCCTGAAAACTGTTTTACGGCTAGGTTTTATGCTGTTTCTGTCCAATGGCTTGTTTTATATTGTCATTTAAATTGTAAGCTGCCTCAGTCAGGGCTCTGGAAAGGCAGCATACAAATATATTCTAAATAAATAAAATAGGTCTGTGAGACCCCCTTTTCATCCCACTCTCTTTTACGCACCTCTCCCTTTTGCATTCTTGTCTATCTTCGGCTGCATATAGTTTGTCAGGGCCGCCATCTTGCCTTTCTTGCTGATTCCAAGCCAGGTCCCGCCTTCTTTCCCTTCCTCCATATCCAAGCCTGCCGAAACAACAGTGAAAATAAAGGTCACGTGTCGACTTGCCTCTTTCCAGGAGCAGCTGAACATTTTAACTCCTCGATGTACGAACCTGAGAACTGAGAGCTTGTAAAGAGAGCCACAAAATAAGAAACGGGAGCCTATGAGAACTCTCCTACCTGAAGATTTGCCGGGCACAAAAGCAAGGTCTGTATCCAGCAGGTGTTTTTACATGGGCAACACACATCAGAAAGGGCAGAAAGGAAGCGGAGGCCCAGGCATGGTATAATTTCCCCTCCCAAATCTGTGATCGGTTTTGTGGAAAGGATTGCAGGATGCGTGTATGTGTGGGTGCTGCAACAGGCCTAATCCACATCTGGAACGGACTGTGGTCTCTATGTTCCAAGTTCCCTACAAGTAGGTAACAGAGAAGGAGGTGGAGTAGAATCTCCGTCTAACAATGCACTCTATTTGTATGGAATTTTGTGGGGAAGGCTTTGTGTTTACAGGAATCCCCCCCCCCTACTCTGGGGGAGCATTCCAAAGCTGTATTCCACCCTCAGTAGCCTGAAGCACCACAGTCCATCCTAGCCCCCAAAGCTATTACCACCTTCTACTACCCAAACACCAGAAGGTTCCAAACTTCTTAACCCTATCCATCCTTGCTCTTTATATAATTCATGAAGCAATCTCTCCTTCCTGAACATGAGGATGATTAAGTGACTTTGGATCAATTGTGAGGATTAATTCTACAACTGACCCTTTGTATGAAATAAGCTTATTGCTGTGAGGGTGGGTTGTGATCCTGTGGATCTGTCCACTGATTGTAGTACTTTCCCCTGCTGACGGAAACTTCCCAGATTGCAAATTGAAATAAGCAACTGTAGCCATAATTCTGGAAGCATACCCTACAATCATGACCTAGAAGAGGAGATTGGATTTATACCCTGCCCTTCACTTGGAGTCTCAGATCGGCTTACAAACTCCTTTCCCTCCCCCTCCCCACAACAGACATCCTGTGAGGTAGGTGGGGCTGAAAGAGCTCTTTGAGAATTGCTCTTGAGAGAACAGCTCTACGAGTACTGTGGCTTGCCCAAGGTCACCCATCAGCTGCATGTGGAGGAGTGGGGAATCAAACTCATTTCTCCCAGATTAGAGTCCGCGCTCCTAACCACTACCCAAGCTGGCTCTCACCAAACCCTTTCCTTTATTTTTAGAAAGACACCCTCAAATTGAAAGGGACCCGTCAAGGAGGGAGCCAACACAGCTCTCACTTTCAAAACAATTAGAAAAACACTTGGAACAACCTAAAAGGCCAAAGCACACACCAGCAAGGAGAAACGGAATGCTCCGCAAAGCCACAGAAGCAAGTCGGAGGCACGGCAACATTCCAATTATAGACTGATCTTATTAATTTATTAGAATTAATGTGCTTGGGAGGATTTGCTGCCATAAAATATCATCGATACCAGAAGCTGAACCAGTTTCTTGCTAACGGATCAATTCCCAACCTTCACGTTGGTATTTCTGGGCTTTGTGAATAAATAGATTAGATGTGTTTATAATTGGATCTCCTTTAGAGTACACTGGGACTTCAGCATACTAGACCACTGGCACTGATAATCTTTCCTAATAGGGAAAAGAGCACAACAGAAAACATATATACTGCACAATATTATTTTGTATTATTTGACATGCTCCGTATTTAAAAAAAGGGTTCATTTGCTTACAGACTAAAGTCCTGGGCTAACAGTGTTGCATCACTATTGGCTGGAAACTCAACTTTTATTTATTGGCTTTACCAGACTTATAGCCCTCCCTCCCCTGCACAGCAGGCTCAGGGCAGGTAACAACAGTGTTAAAAACAATACCAGAAGTTAATTACTAAAACCAAACTATCAATACAACACGTTAAACTAAAAACATTCAGATGGCGATATAGGCACAGAGTACATAAGCTATCAGAGATGAGATAGTACAGCCACTGTGTTGCCAAAAAATTCTCAATGACAAAGTGAGAGGCAGAGAGAGGGCTGAGCTAAGCCAAGCTGGGCCAGGGGAGGCCAATTCAATGGAAACTTCGCTGCCTCAACCGTATGTCCGGCAAAACATTTCTGTCTTGCGGGCTCTGAGGAACTGTGTTAGGTCCCGTAGGGCCCGGATCTCATCTGGAATAGCGTTCCACCAGGCCGGGGCCAGAGTCGAGAAGGCTCTGGTCTGGGCTAAGGCTAAGCAAATACTTTTTGGGCCATACAGAAACATCAGGACAAAAAATGTTAGATGTTACCAATAATGTATGACAAGCTCGTGAAGAGGACTTCACTCGGAGAACAGAAACAAGGTAGGAAGAAGCCATTCGTTACATACCTATATCATATTCCAGAATCAAAGGAAACTGCTTTATACTTAGTAAAAACATTGGTACATCTGGCTCAGTATTAATTACACTGGATGGAAGCAGCAGTCCTGGCATATCCAGTTAAGGATATTTGGACAGCGGGTATTGGAAAAGTCCTTTCTCTACCTGAGACACTGGACAGCTGCTCCTGGCCAGAGGGACCCATGCAGAGTTATCTCAAACACTGTCCTGACTCAGTGTAAGGCAACTTCATATGCTCATGGCTCTCTCTGTCGCCAGCAAGTGTCACCAGTGCAGGCATCAAGAGGTCAGCATTAAGTCATAAGAGATGCAAGATTTCGACTGCGTTTGCTTCTGTCTGTTTTCAGTCGAGACATGAAAGAGGGCATTATTACGTAGGCTTACACACATAATAAATGAAACCAAACGACTAGAAGCCCTTGAGAATATTTTTAATTCAATACAATCTTGCTTCATACAACCATGCAGATAAAAGTAGAAAGATAACACCACATCAAAACGGCGGTTAAGTATCTCCCTGTTTTGCAGGCTGACACGGTTTAAATTAAGTTTTTTTGGCACAAAGCACACAGCATGTTCCTCCGTGCATCCATATAAAAGGAGAAATAGATATGCTGAGAATGTGAACTGAGAGCCGGAATTTCAGAACGCAAAAGGAGCTGCAGTGCAGACAGTGTGATTTATCCTCGCAATTCTCCCTGCCAACGACAACAACATCAAGCACAAGAGAACAGTCTTTGCAAAATGCTCCATGTCCCCGAGTCTCATTTTTATTTATGCACACAATGAGGGTCGTAAAGTTACGCAGATGAAAGATAAATCTTTAAACAAAGAAGGAAGTGGACAACACGCTGGGTAACTTTTACAAGTTACCAGGCAGGAGGCTAAGAAGTAAAGTCTGCAAAACTGAACCAACAAGTCTTTTGATTGATAGAAAGGCACCCACTTTCCATAGGCCAGCAGTTTTCTTAAAAACAGTTATTTTTAATGTTAGTACATACCTGCCTAGGAAGTGAGTATCAAGGGCAGAGCTGCTACCATCTGCTCTTAACCCCCCCCCCCCCCAGCCCCTGGAACTTTTCAGGAAGCTGCCTTCTAGGAGGGAAGGAAGTGCCCGCCCGCTCACAGGGAGATCGTTTTACCAAGAGCAGAGCTGTTGCCACCAGCTCTGCCTTAACGGCAAGAAGCATCTGTGAAAGTTATTTATTTTACATATCCGTGAAACTGATTGCCTTTTGTATGCTTTGTACATTGTAAGCCACTCTGGGTTCCTGTTATACAGAGAGAAGCAGGTTAAAAGTGTTCTGAATAAGACAAATTCATCGGAATCCTTGGAAGAGGAATGCCTTTAGGAAAGATGCTCCTCTTCCTCTCTTGCACAGAATGCCTCTTTTGAGATTGCCTGCTAGGAAAGCAAAAGATGCCCTTTCCTTGGGAACCATTGTTTATTCATATGCAAAGTTATGTGACTACCTAGTCAATGAAGAGGCACACGGTTAATCAATTAAAAGGTTGTTAATCAAGTGGCAGGCCTACCAGGAACTTGTTAGGCATCTTGGGGGCTTTATTTATAGTACACAGGAAAGGTATAATTGGACTAAATATGTGTTGCACACTGGTAGCCATCAAGTTCTTTAACATGGTAGCGTATTTCCATGGCAGGAGGTAGCCCAACACAGCCCAAAGGAAACAGGAGCACATGGAGCAAATGAAGTTTGGAATGTCAGCCTGGGACAGCACGGCCCTTGGCTGGGGCAGAGGACTCATGTGAAGGAAGAACACTAGAATAAAAACAGGGCAGGGTCACTGTCCAAGAGGACCTCCCCGTGACGAAGGCAACAGGGTGGACTGCCCAAGGAGAGAGCCACCATTTAGGGTTTACCAGCTTCTCCAGGTGACTAATGTCTCAAGACCGTCGATGAACTACGCCCCTGTCCTGATACACCACACCGACTGGCAAAACAGAGTTTTTGACACTTAGACTTTGGTGAGACAGAGCCTACTATATCAGATGGATATTGATTAGGAAGCTTCAATGCCCAGTAGGCACTGCTCAGGGGCATGGGCTGTACGTAACATGGTGAAGAGTAATTTCTGCATTGTCCTGACCTGGATGGCCCAGGCTAGCCTGATCTCTTTAGATCTTGGAAGCTAAGCAGGGTCAGCCCTAGTTAGTACTTGGATAGGAGACCGTCAAGGAGTCCAGATTTCCTGTGCAGAAGCAGGCAATGGCAAGCCACCTCTGTTAATCTCTTGCCCTGAAAACCCCACAGGGTCACCGTACGTTGGCTGCGACTTCATGGCACTTTCCATCAAAACACCACATTTTATTAGTAAAACACCACGTTTTATTAGTAAAAATGACAAGCTCCAGAAGCTCTTACCTTCTGACCACAGCTAATTAACTATTCATCAATTCCTGTACTATTAAAGGAGGAAGCTGGACTCACATGCAAACTTTTAAAAAGAGCATCTTTCTGATTTTCCTGCCCAAACCGTGTACTGTGCATATATGCACATATGAAAATGTCTTATACAAAGTGAGACCACTGGGCCATCAAACCTTAAAGGCCTTAGCAGTAGATCTTCAAGGGCTCAGGCAGAGGAAGGTCCTTCTATACACCAGCTACCCTTTCACCTGAGACAGAACCTGGGACCTTCTACATGCAAAACATGTACATGCGAGCCCTGGTTTATGGCCCCTCCCCATAAGAAGTGCTTCATACAGTGCAGTCCTCAACATAGTTACACCCTTCTAATTCCACTGAAGTCAATGAACTTAGAAGAGTGTAACTCTGCTTAAGGCAGCACTGTTAGTCCATTGATCCAAGTCCCTTAATCATTAGTCCATCTGGCTCTTTATCTCCAACTGGCAGCCAGTGTTCTCTCTAAGCTGAGTTAGTGTGAGCTAGCTCACCATTTTTTAGCCTCTGGCTCACACATTTTTGACTCAGCTCAGAAAGGATGGCTCCAGAGAAAACTAATGTAGGCAGTAGCCAAATTGCTCGCTCACAACTTTAATGCCAGTAGCTCGCAAGGTAGAAGTTTTGCTCACAGCTTAGAGAGAACATTGCTGGCAGCAGCTCTCCAGGGTCTCACGTAGAGAAAGGCCTTTCCTGACACCCATTTCCCAAATATTTGAGCAGTGGGTCATCACATCACATTTATGAGAGATGAGAATCTTTTCCTAAGGTATTTAATCGGAGTCCGCACTCCTTGATCTCAGATGTCAGAATTACTGCTACATAAAGCAGCAGATAAACTTCACAACCACGATAAAGATAACATTTCAGAAAACGGCAGCTACGGCTAACATACGACTTTTTCTTCAACAGATGGTCGGCACATATTCTGATAGCTTCTCTCAGAACTGATGGGGGAGAAAGAAAAGAGGAAAAACGTATTCAGGGGAAGAATGACATACCGCTAAGGATCTCGTTGCTGCCATCCCAGAAGTCTGCCGATTTTGATGGTCTTAGATAAAATTCATCTCTATTCGCTGCTAGGATAAGCCTGCAGAAAAAGCACAGGGGAATGTGGTTGCTTAGATGATGAAGATACAAAGTGTTTTTGACCTATTAGAGCTTCTGTATTAAAAAGGGCCCTTCAATAATATAGAAAATCATGTCTCCAGCTTTACTTCTTGCATGTTTAAAAGAGCAGAGGGAAATATAACTGACAGAATGTTCTCTTGTCCCACGCGCTACCTGGAGCAAAAAACAACAACAACAACCCCGAACAAGAAGAACAATGGTCCAGTGGAAAGAAACATTTATTTTATTCAGCTATACTGCCCCCCTATGTGTTTCGCGTTCTCTACCCAGTCGGCCGGAGAAAAGGGCACAGGTCTAAACCAGGCAGCTGAGATCAGGCCAGTGATGCTCAGTGGAAGAGCTGGAGCCTTTGAAACAGGGAGCTGTCCAGCACGAGCACAAGCTGATCTGGAGAACTGTGGAACCAGCAATGGTGGAGATTCAGCTCAGCAATCACTAGTCCCCAACGCTTCCTGAAGGGAGAGTACATCCCCAGTCTTTCCAGGCCTTAAGAAGTAGCACCTTCCTTCTTTGTGCAGCTAGAGTAGGGAACACTTTGGGCTACCTTGGGACTTATTTACCTAAGTCCAGGCTTCAACCCTGGCTCTCCACCTCCTTTGATAATGCAGCAGGGGTTTTTTTTTGGGGGGGGACTGGTGGCAACAGGGTCCACTGGGTGTCCGCATCCAGCTGAATCTCCAGATCTTGGGTAGGAGCCGGCTGCAACAGAGAACCCGGGGACCTTCTCCTGAAGGTTATGGGCAATGTTCCCTCTAAGCTGTGAAGTCTTGTGAGCAAAAATTCTACTTTGTGAGCTGCTGGCATTAAAGTTGTGAGCAAGTGATTTGGCTACCGCATAAATTAGTTTGCTCTGGAGCCATCCTTCCTGAGCTAAGACAAAAATAGGTGAGCTGGAGGCTAAAAAACTGTGAGCTAGCTCACATGGGAGTTTCCACATTCCACATTCAGTCAGTCTCCAGCCCTCTCCCCCATGGAGATGTAAGGGAAAAGACATATCTTCACAATGGAAAAGGCTAGAGACTTTTTAAAATAAAAATGAAAGCTGAGAGTCCAGAGAACCTGTCTAACCTATCATTACAATGGTATATCAATACATCAATATTTGAGTGCTTCGTTAAAAAAGGGACATGTGCTGTGATGCTACTGATGACACCACAGATGATGACAGCACCTTCCCCTGAAAATCCTGATCATTTAAGACACATGTAGAGGAAAATAAACTAATTCTACAACTGTGAAAATGCAGGAGGACTGTTCCCAAACCAATTCCAATGTTTATGGGTTGACTGCCAAGAAAACCAAGAGAAAGTCGAGCCTGTGGAAAAGCCCACAGAGAGGAATTCTGCAACATCTGAATACTGAATGAGGGTTTGGTTTCTGCCACTGATAAAACAACAGGAAAATCCACTAAATGCCACAATAACCAGCCAGTAGGAAACAGAAAATCTAATTCAAAACACACTGCTGGATGAAATGCACTGTTCTTCATATCTGGCAGGAGTCATTCTTCCGCTGGGTCTAAGCTATGTAGTGCAGTTCTGAAGCCAGCTCTATCTGTAATGCAGACACTGAAAACAGACCCCCCCACACACCATTTGTCAGGATCACCCGTCTCATTGCCCAGACCATGCAGAGCGCCCCTCCCCCCAAAAAAACCTTCTCTTTTCCATGAAAGCTTCACCATCTAGGGCAGCGGTTCTCAACCTGTGGGTCGCGACCCCTTTGAGGGTCGAACGACCCTTTCACAGGGGTCGCCCAAGACCATTGGAAAACACAAATTTTCGATGGTCTTAGGATAGGGCTGCCAAGTCTCGCCAAATCCTGCATATCAGATATTTACATTACGATTCATAACAGTAGTAAAATGACAGTTATGAAGTAGCAATGAAAATAATTTTATGGTTGGGGGTCACCACAACATGAGGAACTGTATTAAAGGGTCGCGGCATTAGGAAGGTTGAGAACCCAGTATGACCAAGATCATAGACCTCAGTTCATCCTTATATGGTACATTACACATTGCATGGCCCTTGATTTGGACTGCAGGAAGGAGTTTAACACTTCAACTTCTGCATGGTTTTGCTAAAGCACTACACATTATTACTGCCTTAGCAAAATCATGCAACAGCTCCCTTTAAAGGGGAAAGTGTTATCGTTTTAAAAGGACCTGCCTTTTCTCCTCTGAAGAGCTAACAGCACTACATAGTAGAAGTGTTTTCTATTAGTGAAACTGTGCAGAGGGACTGAAGGACTGAACCCTCTCTTACAATCCCCACCTACCCATGGTTCAAACCAGGGCTGTGCATATTGGAATTTTGCCTTTTCAGGATGGGAGATCTCAACCGTGCCTGATTTGCAGTTAGCCCCTTTCCCAAGCTGAAGTGAAGCCTGAGCTAGCACAGCCCCCTTTGCCTGTGTTCTACCCCTGTGCCCTTTACTTCTTTCCCTCCATTCCCTTTGTCATGCCGTGCCACAATCTAGTGTGCAAGCAAAAAAGGGCAGGCTGCAAAGTTTGTGCTGGATATGTCCTCTCTCTTTAGATTTATCTGTTTAAAAGCAATGTGGGTCTGGCTCACGCAGCAATTCAATTCACGGCTGCAAATGCAGGATTGTCTAGAAGCAAAAGGGTCATGCTTCCCCACGGTTTAAAGGGGAAATGGAACCTGTGAATGTGGAGACCCAGAAAGATAATGGCACAGGAGGAGTCAATAAGAGCCAGATGCCTCAAAGGAATGCACAATGCATACACTTTGGCTTTCTGGCCTTTGAGTTCCAAGTTCCACTTGGCTATTAAAGCAAAGGGGAAAGCTTTGCCTGCTCACGAGAATGCCTGCCAGAATATATATCATTAAAAAAAATTATTTATCAAACAATAGAAAGCATACACCCACAGAATATATACCATCAAGCTTCTGACAAATATTCACGCTGCACTGAGTTTTGAGAAGTTCATAAAACTTCTACCATATCTACTTTAAAATGTTTTTGCTATGCATACATATATTGCCACTGCAGCAGCACTGACAAACGGAAATCATGTCTCATGTTTCTTAATAGCCAGCTTGGTGTAGTGGTTAAAAGTGTGGACTCTAATCTGGGAGAACCGGGTTTGATTCTCCACTCCTCCGCATGCAGCTGCTGGTGTGGCCTTGGGTCAGTCACAAGTTCTTTCAGAGCTGTTCTCTCAAGGGCAGTTCTCGAAAAAGGTCTCTCAGTCCCACCTACCTCACAGGGTGTCTGTTGTGAGAAGGAGAAGGGAAAGGGATTGTAAGCCGCTCTGAGACTCCTTTGGGTAGTGAAGAGTGGGGTATAAATCCAATCTCTTCTTCTCTTCTTCTTAATAGTAAACAGCTATTCAGAACGTATTAGTGCGCACTGATATATATTTAAATAGAAGAGAAGAAGAGGAGATTGGATTTATACTCTGCCCTTCACTACCCGAAGGTGTCTCAGAGCGGTTTACAGTCTCCATCCCTGTGAGGTAGGTGGGTCTGAGAGAGCTGAGAGAACTTGTGACTGACCCAAGGTCACACCAGCAGCTATATGTGGAGGACTGGGGAATCAAACCCGGTTCTCCCAGATAGGAGTCCACACTCTTAACCACCTATACACTTCAAGGACTACCTACTCCCATGTGTCTCCCACATGCCTGCTAATTAAAACAGACATCTGAGGACTTGCTCTGTGTGCTACCACTTTCTGAAACAATCTGCTACTTTATATTAGGAAGTATATTAGTCATGGGACTAATGGGAACTTCCACACCCAAAGTCAGTAAATCTCCGAATACCAGTGCTGGGAAGGAGGCAACATCAGGGGGAGGCCTTTGCTTCTATGCCCTCTTTATTGGCTCTATGAGCCAACTGTCAGCCATTGTTTGAAACAGGATGCTGCACAAAAAAGGACCACTGGTCTCATCCAGCATGGTTCTTATGTGAGAAGTAACTACATTCAGATCCTTTCTATGACTATGGAATGGCTTTCTTCCAGCAGTTCCCCTGGCACCTACTCTTATATTATCACCTGACACCCATGGCTTATTTATTTGTCTAGGCGGGTTTTTTTAAACTATGTTAACGCCTGTGTTTTGTTTCTGCTCTGGGTCTTTGATGCCTTGGAGAGTTTTACTGACAGCTGTTCGATTTGTTTCCGTGAATGCTTGTTGTTTTACTGCTGTTAAATTGTTTTAACTCTATTTATTTGATTGACTGCTGGCTTGAGGGATTTTAATGTTCTTTACTCCTGCTGCTGGCGCTTATTTCTATTAGATCTTGTTCTTTCATTGTTTCTAAGTGTATTTTATTTTTCATACTGCATTGTACACTGCTTTGAGCATCTTCTGGGAGAAGCAGCCCATACATAATCTAAATAAAGGAAACACCTGCTCTTTATCATCAGGGAGTCTAGCAGGCTATCAGCATAATTTAGTGCACCAGGAACAGAACCAGCAGCAACTGGACGACAGCGGGATGGGAAGGGACCATGGCCCTGTGCTACAGCATCTGCTTGGCGTGCAGAACGTCCCAGGTTCAATCCCTGGAATCTCCAGTTCAAAAATGACCAGGTTGTAGGTGATGTGAAAGACCTCAGCCTGAGACCCTGGAGAGATGCTGCCAGTCTAAGTAGATAGTACTGACCCTGATGGACCAAGGGTCTGATTCAGCTTCGTGCGATGATGTGATCCTGGCTAAATCTTCCAGTGACAGGATGAAACTTCCCTGCTTCCTTCTCCCACTGAAGCCCACCCATCTCCGCAAAATAATGCTCCTGGGGGAAAGGAAACCCTGAATAATGCCACGATGGGGGTGAACTGTAGGAAGGGAAATTGCCAGTTTAGTCTGGATCCAACCCAGTATGTCAGAGAGACTGACATGCAGCCCACGGATCCCTCCTCCTGCATATCATCAGCCCTCAGTCACACAACTCTGCTCTAGAGCCGGACAACATAAACAATGGCGG